TGTGTGTGTGTGTGTGTGTGTGTGTGTGTGTGTGTGAGAGTGTATGTGTGTGTGTGTGTGTGTGTTGTGTCTAGAGTTAAACTGCTTTCTGTAGGGATGTTAAAAAGAGTCTTTTTTTAAAGATACTACTGAGGTTTATGAACAGGAGTGCTTGAGGAAGCTGCTTTGTATCTTAACAGGGTTTAACAGGTCCAATCGGTCCCCCTGGTTCTGCGGGACCCAACGGTGAAAAGGTACCGAAGTTATCAGTTTATTATCAGTTTGTTAATGTGTTTAATGTCTAATATTAATCTCTACGCCGTACGTTCCTCAGGGAGAATCTGGACCTGCAGGACCGTCTGGAGCTGCTGGTACTCGCGGTGTTCCTGTGAGTCTCTCACTAATTATATCAGTGTTCAGAGACCTGTGTTCAGAATAGTGGCATTTATCTACTTTCTATACTTTCCACATTGAAGTCAATATATTTTTGCAACTTGCATATGTAACTCAATGCATGCAGTGATCTTCTGTTGCTCAAACTTTATACCAACCTCTGAATTTACATACGGAAAAGTTTTATCTGTCATACAGTTGTGTCATTGTGTATCTCACTTAATACACCAGACATGATATGACACACCAGATCTCTGGATCATTTAGATCTGATATATTTGTATATGCTTTATACATATGCACTTCTAGGAAAAGAGTGTGACATGAGCAACGTCTATAATCTAAACACTGTTTTAGCTGATGGCATGGCATCATTATTGCACATACAGTATAAAAATGTACTATGATATAATAAAGCTGAGGCTTTATGTTTTTGTCAGGGTGACAGAGGAGAGACTGGTCCTTTTGGTCCTGCTGGTTTTGCTGGTCCTCCTGTAAGTACAGCAATGGCAATCACTGCACCTCATCTTCACTCTCTTTATTTCTGCCCAACAGTAAAATCTCAGATGCTCTCATACGCCAAGCTCACACAATCTGATCATCAAACTACTGGAATAGCTGTTTTTAATATTATAGCAGTGCACATATGAAACCCACAAATAAAAAAGGCTTTGGCCTAGAGACTACCCAGCTAATGGTGAAACCAGTGTTTGTGCACTTATCTTTGCAGAAAATTAAATGAAGAGGTGAAAAAGATGTGAATGCTTATAATTGCTTGACCTTATTTATTTAATAAAGCAAGAACTGAGATCTCAGTGATCAGTCAAAGAGAACGCAGATGAGTTTGCTGTCTAATCATAAATGATGTAATGACATCAGCTCATTACCCAGAACAACATGCAAAATGTTTTCTGCCTCTGCACTTTGTTTGGCTGCAGCACGTGTCATATATTACACACGTTTAAAACTGTTCCTGTGACTGCACCGGTGATGACAGCGAGCTCTGACAGAGACACACTACTGCTTTATAGCATCAACTCAGCTTTGGGAAGGCTGTTTTTGTGCAGTCAAAGTCCCTCTAAAGCAGGGGTGACCAAACTCGGTCCTGGAGGGCCGGTGTCCTGCAGAGTTTAGCTCCGACCCTAGTCAAACACACGTGAAGCTGCTAATCAAGCTCTTACTAGGAATACTGCCAGTCAGCAGTCAGGTGTGTTGAGGCAAGATGGAGCTAAACTCTGCAGGACACCGGCCCTCCAGGACGGAGACCCCTCCTGCAGGACACCGGCCCTCCAGGACCGAGTTTGGAGACCCCTGCACTAACCCTTCAATAAATAAATAAAAAATTGCCCAAATTGACAAGATCAGCACTTTTACAGGTTTTAAAATATAAAAAATCAGTGTGAATTTATCAGAAATGTTTTTCAGAATAATTCAATTTTTCCCCATTATCTGATGGCAGGTTATCTGTGTAAAATGGGATGTTACGTTGGGTCTCCCTCACCTTTTCCTTGCCACAGTGGAATAGGGCATCCTCTGTGTCACAACAGGCAGAAAAATATGGATACAAATAAATCAGATCACTTTCAGTATGTTACATCACTAACCTAACATACACCACACACTCTCATACAAAGGCATGTACACAAAAACACACATTCATCTTCAGAGTTTGTCTCCTAGTGGCCACCCAGAGCACTGCTGCTGCCTGTCGTCCAATCAATGATGATGAAGCTCAAGCTCATTACCATAAACAACATGCCCAGTCCAGCAAAACAGGTAGCCTGAGAAAAAGAGAAAAACATTTTTTTTAGTCATTAATCGGATCTTTTTCTCTTTTATAAAACAACTTTCTGGCCAAATTATATGAAGTAATTAGGATTCAGACTAATTTGTGAACTGATTTAGAAAGAGTGTTTTAGAAATATTCCCAAAAAGTACAGTAACAAAGTATTTCTACTATACATCTCTGTCTTTTTTCAGGTAGGAGCGATATAAACACCATGTAAATGTCTAGACGTGATGATACAGAGCTGAAGAAAACAGCTCAAATGGGTCATATGAGAGTATAACTAGAATCAAGTGGTATAAATCTTGGATCGGTGCAGTATTAACTTAGTATCACTAATATACTATTATAGTTTTTGTTCGTATTTTAAATTAATTTTTATTTTATATTTTCTCTTTTCAATTTAATTTTAGTTAAAGTTTTCATAATTTTGTTGTAGGTTTTTATTATTTTTATTAATTTTAGTTTTTTAAAATATGTCAATATAGTTTTTATTTAATGTAAATTAGAAATGTTGCCTTAGCGAATAGCTGAAATGTTTTTTAATGGTTTTAATTTTACATAAATACATCAATTTTGCCCAAACACAGGGACATAGCCATCATTTCAGAAGTGAAGGGGACAGAAATGTCAAATATAATAATGCTTGATACTTAATTTTCTAATTGACAGGTTTTATTATTATTTTCTTATCTTATCTTTTATAATTGGCTGAGAAAACAAATACACTACTGGACAATAACCAATAATTTGTATTCTACAATATTTTTCCTTTATTTTCCTAATGACAATTTTATGATTTGTTTATATACTACAAACACTTTTTCCAATTTTATCACAGAATAAGGCAGAAGATATATTTTATAGTTTCTATAGCCAATTGTAATAAATGCCATGTCAGTTAGCACTGCATTATTCAGATGCTTTTTTTTTTACTTGGAGATGACTTGAAAAGCACACATAAACCATATATTGTCGTAATCATGTGTTTGTTGTCTTCTCGTTTCTTTTTATTCAGCTTAGCTACAGCAGAGATTGTTTTGGCTACAGCGATAGCTGGATGCCTTTATTCATATTAGGGATTTCCTGCACGTCATAAGTTATTCCTTCTTAAAAAAAAAAGAAAGTTATAACGTCTATTAGTCCATTTTGGACATTCTGCGCGAGAGAGTCCTCTGGCTTCGAGTATGAATGAAACATACACTGCATGAGAGTGTTTACACCTCGCTCCTGACCGCATCACTGTCTTTACTGGGTGTTTTTAGGGAATATTTGCAGTTATTCACATGCGATTGGATTAGCTACTCGTGTGCTGGACTGTCATGATTTGTCACGCAATGCTGACTGATAAAGAAGTGCGCACTACACCACTGACAACGCTATATGTCGGCGCGCTACCCACAAGGCTGTTTTTTTATATATATTTATTTAATTTTAGTTAACGTCCATTTTTTTTTCAAGTAACAAAATTTTATTTTTTATGGTTTTAATTTTAGTTCCAGTTTTGGTTTTAGTTAACTATAATAACCCTGGATCAGTGCAATATAAATGCATGGCGATGCTTGCCTTGAACAGTTTTCAAAAATGTACTTCACTCTCTTTCTGGGTAATCATTAATCATACAAACATAACTCACAAAGATTTTGGGGGTAGAGCGCATTGGCTCCTTATCCTTGGGAACAATACGGATGTAGAAGACAGCAGGGAAGATGAAGATAAGACAGGGAGCGGATGTTGCACCTGGAGGAGGAAGAACGGGACAAATGTAGATCAGCTAATCAGCTGAATCCAATTAAACCTGACACTGGTGACAATTAAACATGACGACAATTAAAATTCCAGCAACGTTTTCCTTGCTGATGAAAATGAGAATGGAAAAGTTAAATGAGAACCCTGTGTTGAACAAAACCAATTTTATGGTTATCACAGTAAGACTCATGGGTCAATGTCAAATGATTTCTGAAAGGAAAAATAGTTTAAAAACATTTAAAGCTAATTATAAAGTTTTCAAAATTTTCAATTTGTACAATTTTCAAATAATGTCAAAATATGTTTAATAAATATAAAAAATTTTTATTTAAAGAATTCATCTCAAAAATATATTTTTTACATCATAAATGTGGTTTTAGACTTTAAACCCCACAAAAAATACCAAAATAATTTTAGTTTAGAAACCTGAATAACAACAAAAAATTGTTTCATATGATTGATCTGTTTTGTTTTTCTCGTCATTGTGATCAAAAGGAACCCCGACACTCACCTTCTTTCCAGTAATATGAGCTAAACACAAAAATATTGATTTAACAGCACAACATTATCTGTTCAAACAAGCAACGGTGACATTTGAAGCTGCTCTCAAGGCCAGAGACAGTGTCAGTGTCCCTTACCCACACAAGTGACGCCAACGTGAGTCTGTGCTTTGGCATTTCTGACACTTGTTTGAACACAGAATTGTTTCCCGGTCTGGATTTTGAGCTCTTGGGTCAGTAATGATTGAAGGACTCACCAATGATGCCAAAGATGCCCAGGATGTTGGGAGCGAAGATGACCAGCATGTTGATGAAGGTCAGGAGGATGACGGCAATGGCGACGTGTCGGATCCAGTTGAAGGTTTTATTAGGGAACATCATCTCTTGAATGGCTCTTCGCACCTTTGAGAAAAAGTAGCAGATTGAAGCTTGAGAACATTTTTATGCCATTTTTGTTAACTGAAATTTCTTCAAGAAACTTTTGAGCCCCTTTGAGCTCTTAATGTACAGCAAACTCAATCTGTCCCCTAAAGCATGGGTGGCATCAATCGTTTTAACTGTATATATCACAATGTACTTATTTTTGTTGTATCATTCAACCCAAATGATTCATCTATTACATCAGTGCTACTTAACCTTTTTGACTCCAAGGTCCCACTACTCTACAAGACAAAAATGAAGGGCTAAGATATTGCCGTAATGACAAAGCTGCTTGTTTTCAGACTTTTTATATACAGAAACTAGGAGTGGCATTATATTAAAATAATTAAATACCATAATTCCAGACGTTTCAAGAACTTATTTACCAGTTTTCCAGCTGTTTGATTAGATTATTTTTACCCACATATAGCTATTTCTCAGCAATTTCTTTCTGACAAAATATTTTAGAGTCTGACATAATTAGAATCACTTGTTTTCATTATAGAAATTTCCATGAATTTTTAAGATTTTATTAATTTGCGTGACTTTTCCAGGTCTAGACATTAAACTTTTAAAATTCCTCATATATCCAGGTTTTCCAAGAACCCTGGTTCTTAAATAAAATTAAAAAAAATGACAAGGAGGAACAATTTACATTACGAAATATAATGTCAGCTTATCTGTATCAAGAGTTTAACAGAAATAAAGTGGCAAAAACCTTGGATCAGTGCAGTGTTATTTTAGTACCATTGAGATACTATTATAGTTTTTGTTAATATTTTGAATTAGAATTTTTTTCTATTTTCAGTTTTTAAGTTTAGTTAAAAGTTTTATTAATTTTTAACATGTCCACAGAGTTTTACTTACATTTTATTCATTTGTTTTAATTTATTTAAAACTTCAAGTTAACCTGAACGATAATGATAAATGTTGCCTTGGCAACTAGCTGACATCATTTTTATTTTATTTTTTAAATATTTAATTTTTAATATAAAAAATCAGTGTAATGTTAACACATGGCGATGCATGTTTTCAAAATGTAGGAACAATTTACATCAAGAAATATAAAATCAGTCTATATCTTGGTTTTTAGGTGCTTTATCTTATTTTAATACCTATTTTGTCTCAGTTTAGTTAAGTTATTTTAAGCCATTTTGCAGCCATGGATGCCATTCCAATCTTGGAATTATGCTGAGGCCCCCTCACATCACAAAGGCATTGCAGTTTGCAGAGGAGTCAGCGTTTTGCTTGGTGTATGATTTTTTTTAAATCACACCGTGGATATACTGTGGTAAAAATGCTCAAAACAGCACAATCTCTATGATATGAGCATATGAACATGTTAAACTCACTGGGAACAGTACGATGGGCACAGTCAGCGTGACGGCGGTGAGCACAGCCAAACGCACGCAGAGGATGAGAGTGTCGTAGGGGTCGATCCTGCTGTATGTGTGCAGAAGCTCGGCCTCAACATTAGCTGTGGCAGAATGAGAGAATTCATCTACTTAGTTTACAGCTCTTACAATACATGCTAAGCATTTCATTATGATTTAAATATTTCAGGATGATCTCATGTGAATATTGAAACATTGAAATAATAGTAATAATCTAACTTATTTTAAGCAAGTTCCCAAGGTGCTTACAAAAAAAGGGAAAATAATTAAAGCATGCATATCAAGAGAATTTAATCAAGTAAATCCTATCCCAAAAATACGGAATATGCAAACACACAGGATATGTTCTTTCTTTCAAAAACAGCTAGATGGAGCAAAATGAGTTTTAATATGCATTTATTTTTACAGTCGCTACATTTTTTAAATAATCCGTGTTGCATTGCCTACCAAAGCGGGACTGTATTTAATTTGACATGCAACATCATGCATACATAAAATTGAGTGCAAACTTGGACCAAATGCAACATCCAGTGTGCTAGTTAAGCAGAGTACTAGCAATGGGCAAATGTAAAAGTGTTAAACTTACTGTAAAATGTTAGGTATCCAAAGAGAGCAGCAAGGAAGTACATAATGTACATGATCAGAATGGAAATGTTGGAAACGTGCTGCATCTTCCTCTGAGTTGGGCTGCAGGGAGAAACACATGAGATTCCTATTCAATCTATTTGCATAAAACACAGATTACAGTCGCAGTGCTGCTTTAATGCTGTCTACTTACTTGCGCAGCTCAGTGTAGATGGGCAGGACCTCAGGGTGGCAGACGAAAGCGAAGGCCAGAATGGGGATGGTGTATGCGGTCTGTGGGACAGTGTCTTTTTTAATGCATTCAGTAAAATATGTAATTATGAAAACAAATATGTGCTATTCTTTGAGCGTATTACATGTGTGTTGATGGTGAACATCTGCGGGCTGCAGTGGGAGTCGTCCACCGTCACATGACCGTTATGGTAGCCGTGGGCGTGGTTCACCGTCACGTTTGAATGAGCGTGTGCCAGCGTGCTATTGGCCGAAAACTCCTCGAATGGGCACGGGATCTGGAACTTCTTATAGATGACCTAACAATACAGAAAGGGACAGAAGATGGAGTAAAAATGGAAAATACAGAAAATCAACAACAAATACATTTTGGCTATTTTGTTTCTCTAAGTAGTAAGTACTTGACACATAATTCAGTCAGGAACAAGAGTACTTCCTGTGTGTATTCCTCTAATTGCCATCAAACAAACTGTACTGCAAAAATGATAATAAATGAAAAAACAAACAGGTTTTTTTTACATGTTCGTATAAAGTTATGAAATTTCCAACTTGTGATCAATGTTTTGAAGCTGAAAAAAGCCATGTAGTTATTTTTTAATATTCAAGCCTCTAATGGCTACATTCTTGTCGGCTAACATGTACAAAGACATAAAGACACATAAAAATACAATGGGTTAAAAGTAATGATCCCTAACATTAGGTCAAATACCAAAAACATAAAAATTCAACCAATAACTTGAGTACGTTCTGTGTGTATTCCCTTTATTGCTGTCAAACAAACTGGACAGTAAAAAAATTACGTAACATGACATAAGTAAATACAAAACAAAACTAAGGCCATTTTTGGCATGTTTGTATATAGTTGTTATGGAATTTTGATCTTGTGATCAATGTTTTGAAGCTGAAAAAGCCATGTATTTATTGTGAGTATGTCCTGTGTGTATTCCAAACAAAGTGGATTGGGGGGGGGGGGAAGGCAAACAATAACTAAATAAAAAAATGAATGAATTAATAAATAAATAGTCCATTTTTGTTTGTTTATAGTTATGGAATTTCAATCTTGTCATCAGTGTTTTGAATTTGAAAAAAGCCATCCAGTTATTGTGTTTTTATTTCTTAATAATACAAGCTCATCTCTAATGGCTACATGTCTTGGCGGCTAAATTGTCAAAGACATATATATAATTATCTCCAACAGCAGGTCAAATAATAAAAACAGAAAAACATTATTATTCTTCAAAGGGCCAAATACTCCATGACAAACGTTACACTTGTGAAACATTATAGAGCATCATCATATTATCCCGAGAGAGTGTAACCAATTAAAATCAATTAAAAGCCTCAGTCGTCTTCTTTTGAAGTCAGTCTGAGTGAGTGTTTTATGAGTCAGCATTGCTGTGTGTAGATATGATATAATATGTACGCAGTATATTGCTTCCTCTGGGGAAAAATGTGCGGGCGAACGGTTATGTGAAGCTGTGATTCAACACACTATGTATGAGACACAGGGACAGGAAGGTGGTGAGTTTTTGATATTAATTGTAAATTTTTTGTATCAAATAAATGATTTATGAATGTTGTTTCTTTGGAATAACATGCACTGATGAATCATGCTCAATAAGACTCAATAAGTGATTTTGTTTTCATATTAACTTTAATAACATCTGTACTAATGGTAATGATGATGATGATGGCAAATACTTACTGCACTGAGGAAGAAGACCATGCAGCTGAGTGAAAAACCACTGGTATAACCAAGGTAACCTGAAAATGCAAATATAGTAAATATGTTAAGCACGTCAATATGGCGTCACGGTGCTATTGTCAATCGACATGCCGCCGCATACATGCATTCAAGCCTGAATCCCTGCAACTATAAATGCATGTGCTAAGAAAAGCGCAGTGAGTTATCACTCATCTCAGGAGCTGATCTGTGCTGACAGAGCTTACCAGACACAAATACTGACAAGGTCAACTTGATTCAATTACTATAAACACGTCAAAACAACAAAAACAGAAGTGTGTGCGGTTAAAACGGACTGTTGCTGTCAGATAAACAGGTGTGCTGAATTGGTTTAGCTTATTGCTTGATATGAGGACAGAATGTGCTTTTAAAGTGCTTGAACCGATGCTCTGTAATATGAACGGTCCATTCAACTGGGTCAAACGTACACAGAAACCCACTTTCATGAAATGAGATGACTGAAGTAGAAATGATCGACTCACCCAACTGCTTCATTAGAGCCAAAGGCAGGATGACAGAGAGAGACACAAGCACCACCAAGTAGTTTCCATTGAGATACCATTCCCTACAGAAACAGACAATTCAAGAAATGTCAAATGCCAAGCACTAGTCAAAAATACAAGATTTATCAGCAATATTTTTTTTTACATTTTTTTTTAAGTGATATCAGTTCAGATCAGTCCTTTTATGTGATTAACACAACAAATTACTGTAAAACATCAAGCTAGGGCATAACACTGTAAATAGTTTGTCACCATTATGGTGATTAATGTGCACTTTGGTTGTGAACTCAGACCTTATTTACTTTTAATACTTTACATGTTCTCCCAGAAGTATAAAAATGTGTTATATAAAAGATAAAATGACTCTTTGTCTGATCATTACTTGCAATCTCCACTATATGTGGCAATAATATGTGGAAATAATGTAATATTTTATACTTATTTGCTCATCATAAGTAAAAAACAAAAAACATCTGATATACTGCCGTTCAAAAGTACCGTAGTAAACAATTTTTTGAATTAATACTTTTATTCAGCAAAGATGCTTTAAATTGATCAAAAGTGACAGTAAAGACATGTGTAATGTTACAAAACATTCTATTTTAAATAGCTGTTGTTCTTTTGAACATGCATCTTTGTTACTGCATCATTGATAATAATCAGAAAGGCTTCTTGAGCAGCAAATCAGCATATTAGAATGCTAATAATACATGTTAATAAATGTTGAATAAGAAAATCAGCATATCAGAATGATTTCTGAAGGATCATGTGACACTGAAGAATGGAGTAATGATGCTGAAAATGCAGCTTTGGTCACAGGAATAAATTACATTTTAAATTATATAAAATTAAAACAAACGGTCATTTTAAAATGTAATATTTTTCACAATATTACTGTTTTTACTGTATTACAAATAAATGCAGCTTTGGTGAGCATAAGTGGCTTTTTTTTAAAACATTTAAAAAATTTACCAACCCCAAACTTTTGAACGGTAGCTAGCATACATGCATATCCAGATATGGTTATTATATTTGCTTAAATTTTAGTAAGAGTAAATGAAGCATGAACTAAAAGGGCAACAAAATAAACCAGTAAATAGTAAAAATACAACCACATTTATTGATAACTTTCAGTGCCTATTTTAAAGTCAATCTGTCTTCCGGTCTCCTTTTCTGTTACTCAGCCACACAAGTGAAGATGCTTTTAGTTTGTCACACAGGCAGTGGAAAACACCTACACTATTCCGGAATCAACCTGTCTAACTCGGATTCCAGCCTGAGTCTGAGTCTGCGATTCTCGTGATTTACGAGACAATATGTTGTGTTTGCTGTGGCCGCTAGCGACACACACCATCTAATATAGCCCAGAGCTGACTGCAACATGGCGCAGTTCCTGCTCCTGCACTCAAGTAACTACACACTGTGAACACGAGGACACACACACACACACACACACACACAGACTTTTGAACGGTAGCTAGCATACATGCATATCCAGATATGGTTATTATATTTGCTTAAATTTTAGTAAGAGTAAATGAAGCATGAACTAAAAGGGCAACAAAATAAACCAGTAAATAGTAAAAATACAACCACATTTATTGATAACTTTCAGTGCCTATTTTAAAGTCAATCTGTCTTCCGGTCTCCTTTTCTGTTACTCAGCCACACAAGTGAAGATGCTTTTAGTTTGTCACACAGGCAGTGGAAAACACCTACACTATTCCGGAATCAACCTGTCTAACTCGGATTCCAGCCTGAGTCTGAGTCTGCGATTCTCGTGATTTACGAGACAATATGTTGTGTTTGCTGTGGCCGCTAGCGACACACACCATCTAATATAGCCCAGAGCTGACTGCAACATGGCGCAGTTCCTGCTCCTGCACTCAAGTAACTACACACTGTGAACACGAGGACACACACACACACACACACAGAGTCACAAGGTGCTACGCAGTGTGTAGGTCCAGGCCTGGTTTGAGACTCCTCTATTTTCAGACCCTCTCCGCACCTCCCTGCTTGTATTCAGACACTGATGGCGTGCCGGCGTCAGGCCCTCTCAGACTATAAGTAGACTACTACATGTGGGAATGAAACATCATACATTATATATGCTATCGTTGGGGGCATAAACATTCCTCAGCAAAAGACCATTAATATCTCTGATTTTACATGCCGACTTCTGCATAGCAACATTCAAACACTGAAATATTAATGTTAAACTACCCATTTATGCAGTATACTGTAAATGTATTTTCCAATAAACTGGTACGGGAAATGCAAATTTATATTATTTATATTAAATTATATTATATTTACATTACAGCATTAGGGATTAAAGTGTTTTATGGGCAGTTGCTCATCCACATCAGACTTTAGCTTTTTAAACCCTAACATTTGATCTGGGTTAGGAACCAATGGCTGAGAAAGGAGTTGGACTGTTTGTAGGAGCCACAAAAAAAGGGAGAGAGAGAGAGAGAGAGGGAGGGAGGGAGGGAGGGAGGGATGGATGGAGGGATAGATACTGTAAGACATAAGAGCACATCTAATTTAAATGTTTGAATGTGAATGTTTTATGTGAATTTATTATTATAATTATTTTTTTTAATAAAACTTCAAAAAACTTTCAAAAGTTAAAATAAAGCTGAATAAAAATTTTACCTGAATTAAAAAAAAAAACAGTTAGCCTTGGCAACTAACTGAACTAAGTAAAAGAAAAACTTAAAAATATAAATAAATAAATAAAATTGATAAAAACAAAAATGACAAAAGCACATTACATATTACATATAACTTAAACTAAAATGAAAACTGATATTATACAAATAAAAGCTAATTAAAAATATTAAGAAATACTACATTAGTATATAAATAATAATAAAATAAATCAAATGTATGGTGATTGCCTATGCAAGATCATATCTAATATTTTTATTATAGCATAAAGAGCTGACCATGTAAAATCTTGCCAAACAAAACAATATTAGAATTGTAATCCGGCATTAACCCTCTACCGCATGGTGTGGCCATATGGCAACATGCTAAGTTAAGCCATTCTTAGAAAAGAAAAAGAGTCAAATATTTTTTTCTATAGGTCTATCATAATGCGTGCGGTAGACGGTTAAATGTGTGAAAATTAAAGTGTGTGTTTGTTTGTGTGTGTGTGTGTGTGTGAGAGAGAGAGAGAGAGAGAGAAGAACTTGTGAGCAAGGATGATGATGGAGTTAGTGCGAGAGAAGGTGAGAGCGAGTATCTAGGGGTTCTGTATACCTGGCTGGTTTCTGTGTCTCTCAGTAACGAACCAACTCTAACAAGAGACAGAACCAGCTCAATTATTAAAGAGTGAGAAAGAAAGGGAGGGGAGAAAAAACAAAGGAGAGAAGAGAAGCAGCGGTAGACTGAGAAACACATATACATCACATAAACAACAGCCTATGCATGCTGTGAGATACACAGATAGCACATTGCATACACGACTAAAGCTCATACCGGTTGCATCTTTACATTTTCCAGTTTTAAAACTCATCCATTAGGAGCTTTCATGGAAGCCTACGGTTTTGAATGAATTATATATAATTTACTGAATTGTTATTGTGAGAAAAATAAAGCAACGCATGCATTTTTACATTCATGATATTGTTGCCATAGACTGAGAGTATGATACAGTATGTTGCACATACTGTATATGCATTTGTATGCATTCTTTCCTGACATATGTCGTTCTCTCTCTCTCTTTCTCTATTCTTCCTTTCTCTCTCTCTCTGGCTCTTCCTTTCTCTCTTTCAGGTAACAAACTGCCTGGCTAAAGATTGCCATGGAAACATGCAGTTTGAGAGTGAGATAAGAAATGATTGAGAGAATCAATGTCTAGGTAAGTGTGGTTACTGATTTAACACGGCTTTTTGTACATGTTCATGTGCTTTCATTAAGAAAAGTGAATAAGGCATGTTCGAGACCTGAGCCAATCAAGTTTTTCTTTACGGTCGTGTCCCTTTTGGCATGATTTTAAAGGGGGG